CCAGGCTGGGGGGCGGGGGGTGGATGCATCGCCAGGAATGACTGGCTCCAGCCATCCTGACCTCCTCACAGGGTGCATGCGGTGGTTCTGGGGTTGGTACTGCTGCCCGTTTGCCCGGGTAACCTGCTCTGGGCACCTAGACTTAGCACCCTAATGTGGGGTGCCTCACCCTGACCCGATCTGAGGCCTTGAAGAAGGCACTGCTCCAGGGGGAGGCTCCTGGGGCCTTTTCCTAGATCGTGGGGGCTTCTGCGGCATGTTCAGCCGCCCCAGCTCCCCCGCGCATGCAGCACGGAAAACCCCAGGGGCCTAAGTGTGTTCTCTCTGCAGACCCTGAGGCCACTACCCAGGCAGAGCAGAGGTGGGCCGCCTGGCATGTGGCCAGCCAGCGACCACAGTCTAGCTAAGTACGCATGACCTCAGGGCATTCTGGGGCAAGGACAGAGGGGCAGTGGGCAGGGCACCTGGAGAGGAGGGTAGGTGGGGCCCTGGAGGGACCTGGGCTGGAGCCTGCTCCTCAGGCCCCTCCCGAATGCTCAGGGCTGCTCTGGGCACGGGGATCGTCAACCGTGTGCAGGGAGGAAGCTGCCAGGGCGACGAGCGTGGTTAGAAACCCTCCCCCCCAACTTCCTGTGGACCCCAAACTGATAAGGAACCCCCCCGGATCTCTGCCCCTGCCAGCAAGGGTGGGGGTGGGGGTCAGGGGACAGCTTGGAAGGCCCCTGGGAGACCCGCTGGGGCAGGGGGTGGTGGAGAAGCGGGTGCAGAATGAATCTGAGGTCGGGCCCATGGTAAAGTATCGGGAGCCCTTGGCAAGGAGGGAGGTTGAGGGCCCCACCTGGGAGGCCCTGCCCGATGTCCAGTGTCCTGGCAGAGGGGCCACGGGAGGAGCCAGACCTGGTTTCCTCTTTCCCACCCCCAACACCAGGTGGGGGTGCTCAGCAGAGGAGAGGCCAGCCCTGCCGCCCCCAGCACCCGACCGGGTCTCGGCCTGGCCTGGACTCGGGGCGTCTCTGGGAAAGGCCGAGGCTGGGAGAGAACGTGGTGGTCTCTTCCAGGAGGGTGAGCAGGGCTGCAGGCGAGCTTGGACGGGACCGCGCCAACACCCTTCCCAGTCAGCGTGGTCTCCCCAGCACGGGTCAGAAATCCGTCCCGCGAAGCGGCGAATGGTGTCTTAGCAGCGGCTTTTGAGATCTTTTCCCCACAACATCTCGTGCCGCGTGATGTTTTCTTTTTGATGCAAACCACACCCCTGACTTGGCTTCGAAACAGCTTAAGCGAGCGAACAGAGAGACTTGGGAGGGAAACAGAAACTGTCCGGGCAAGCGGCCGGGGGCTTCTTAGGATCGGTAGTCCTTTTTGCTGTAGGGTTTATTGCCCAAAATGCTATCAATCTCGTGGATAATGGAAGACGACAGTTTTGGAAGGACCTGCGGGCAAGGACAAGGGCTAATCAGAATCCCGCCAAGGAGACAGGACGGGCCTGTGGAGGAGGCTGGGTGACAGTCTTCCGGCCACTGCTGGCCCAGGCTTGTCCTGCCTCATCACATCAGCGTCCCGCTGAAGCCGATGGGGGCTATGCTGCTTTTGGGTTCCAGAAGGTCTGGGGCAGAGAGGAAGCCTGCCCTGGTACACGCTCTGCACCTCAAATGCCAGAACGTGCTAGAACTATGTCTGGCAGGCATAAAATACAGATTCCAGGGCCAGACACCGGATCTCCGCGCCCCTAACCTACTTTTCCCAGCCTTCCCTATTTCAACCAACAGCAAGGCCACCCTTCCAGGTAACAAAACCCCACGGGCTAACTCTGACTGGACTCTCCCTCACCCTCAACCCATCCTGAACATCTAGGAGCCAAGCAGCTGAGCTCGGGACCATCAACAGCCCTCTCCCAGGGGGCCTGCGGTCACTTCCCTTCCCTGTGGGTCTTTCTGTTTCACCCCCTCCTGCTCCCGAAAGCCCTTCCCCCACTCAGCAGCCAGGGAGAGAGGGGTCTTGCCCCTCCTGTGCTCTTGGGGACTCCCGTCTCACCCAACAACCTCCCAAGTCCTTAGTGCCCCAGGCGCTGCCCCACCCCCTCTGCTCCAGCCCATGCCCACCTGTGCCTCCTTTGCTCCCAGAATGCTTTTCCTCCAGGTAATTTGCACATCGCACTCCTCACCTTTCAAGCCTTTGCTCACGCGGCACTTTCTCAACAAGTCTACCCCCACGGCCCCCTTCAAACCTGGGCCCACGGCACCCCCACCCTGTTCTGTGCCCACTGATGCCCCGGACCTTGCTCAATTTTTTCCCCACAGTGCTTGTCACCCTCATGTTCTAATTTCCTCATTTCACTGTCCACTGTGTGCTCTGAATTCAAGAGCAGGGCTTTTAGTGGCTCAGTGACGTAGCCCAGATGCCCAGCACGGTGCCTGGCACATCGCAGGTGCCCGGCGAACATGTGCTGGACAAATGACTGAGCGGTACCTTGCGTTCAGCCCAAGGGCCGGGGGGTGGGGGTGGGGGACACACCCAGCAGCCCCCTCCCCGACCCACCTGTATCGCTCCAATGTTCTCCATTAGCTGGTCTGCGCTGGAAGCACCCAGGAGCACGGAGCTGACTCCCTCGTTCCTTAGGCACCAGGCTGGGGCAGGAAGACCAGAGGTGAGGGGGACACACCCAGTGCAGGGGCCCTTTCTGGCTCTGCCCTGTCCCTAACTGGGCCACACAGATCCAGCCTCTCGGTCATGGGGCCGAGGGTGCCCAGGAGGGTCCCCGTAAGCCTACAGCTCTGCATGCTGGGTCCTGCGGAAGCCCAGGCACCAACTGCTTGTGGAGGGGGGGGGGGAGGGGGCCCAAGTGCTCAGGGACCACCCCCCATTCTCTCCCCATGAATGTAAGGGCCCCATGGCTGCCTGACGGAGGGGTGGCCCCGGGACCACGGTCAACCCTCCCCCCTCCCCCCTAGCACGGTTACCTATGGCCAGCTGGGGGAGGGTGCAGCCCAGGCGCTCAGCTATGGCCTGCAGCTCCTTCAGCTTGGCCTGCTGGCGCCGGCCCTCCTCGCTCAGGATCTTGTCTTTCAGCCACTGGTAGCCCTGGTTGTGGTGGGGAGAAAGCACAGCCCGCTGGTGAGGGCAGGTCACCTGGACCTCTGCGTGCCGAGAGCTGGCGATTTGTGCCGAGGTAGCACCCCCACCCCCGCCTCACAGACCCGGGCAGGTGGAAGGATGGGGCCTGCTGGATCTGAAGCCACAAGCTTCAGGGTCGCTGAGGCGGGGCCCCTGAGCCAGGACCGGGGGGCCTGGCAAGCCCGGGGCGAAGCGGGGTTGGGGGAAGAGGAACGCTTTGGCCGTTGGCCCAGAGGACCCCTTCCCCAGGCTCTGGGGGAGCTGTGGTCTTAGCTGCCCCCACCCCTGGGATTGCAATGCCTTCCAGGGAATCCCTGATCTCGGTGTGGATTGGGCAGGAGTGGGTGGGACAGGCCTTCCCGTCTTTGAACCACAGGCAGGGGGGCTCCAGTGCTGGATCTGCCCTGACCTGAGTAGGCCTTTCTCTGCCTGCTTCTCATTCCCCAAACCCTGCATTTGGGAGACCCTCCTGAGTCCCCACTCCAGAGGCTTGTCTGTGTGTGGGGAACTTGTCCCAGGGGGTGGCCTCTGAGGGACAAATGAAGCAGCTCTGCAGCCCCCAGCCCAGAGGTCTCAGAGTTGGCCTAGAGAGTGTGTAGGGGGGTACCCGTCGTGGGAGGGGCCATCCCAAATAGCACAGGTGGTCCGCCCAGCCCACGTTGTCAATGCTGAACCCAGCTGGGGGTGGCGAGGGAGTGAAGGGGACTTTTCACCGGGGGGCGCATCCCAAGAAGAGGATGGCCTTTCCGGAGGTGGGATCCCTCCAGCAGGGGCTCCAAGTTCGCTTGTCCTGGAACCGCCCCCACAAGGGCCCAGGGAAGCCCCGCCCAGACCCATCAATCCAAATGCCTGTCAATCCAAAATGCCTGTCACCTGCCCGTCCCCTCCTCCCAGCCTGGCAGCTCTTTTCACCTTTAAGGAGGCTCTTGAGTAGGGCGGGATGCCACTGTCGTACTTTCCGGAAACGATGCCGCAGGCCAGAGGGGACCAGGTCATGGCGCCCACTCCTGGGAGAGGAAAGCCAGGCGAGGTCAGGCCCGGGGTGGGCGGGGCTGGGGAGCGAGGCGGAGGGGGAGGGGCGGAGCTAGGGAGCGAGGAGGGGCGGGGCGAGAGGAAGGGGCGGGGCAGGGGAGAAACGGACGGGACCAGGCAGGGGAGCCCACCTATCTTGTGGAAGAGCTCAGGCAGCTGGACCTCCACCTTCTCGCGCTGGAACATGTGGTACTCCGCCTGCTCGCAGATGGGCGGGATCAGGTTGAACTGTCGGGCCACGGAATAGGCCTCCTATGAACGCAAATAGGACCGTGGATGGTCCCTGTCCGTCAGTGGGTCTGGGGGCTGCTCGGGCAGCATGGAGGAGACACAAAGACATCCCCAGGAAACAGCCGGCTCACCTGCTCTCCCCCCACACTCCTCCCCGGGGAAATTCACCGCTTTCCTGGGAAACCGGTAGCCTGTCCCCCTACCGTCTCTGCTGGGAAAACGGGATGGGACCCCAGCGTTGAAGGCATGGGGAGGATTCTGGCACTTATTGGCCAGGTGGCCTTGGGCAAGGAGCTCACCCCTCTGTGCCTCAGTTTCCCTGTATGTTGTGAGGGTCAAGTGAGCCAACGGCGTTCACAGCCTTCAGGAGGGCAGTGCCTGCCTGCCACGGTGCTAGCTGTTTTTATCATGATCATTATTCCAGGGCCCTGGCCCTGGGATGATGGTGGCAGTGGCAGGAAAACGCTACGTCAGGAGGAAACGTAGCATCAGCCCATTTCTGGGACTTGGAGCTCAAGGCCTGGACTCTGCAGACTCTCCCTCTGCTCCTACTGGACGGGTGTGAGCCAGGGCTGATGTCTCCTGACAAGATTCCTGGGGAAGCCCCGCCTGCCAGCACGAGAGGTCCTTTCCTCTTCGGTGTCAGACTCAGTTTTTGCATCTGTAAAATGGGAATAGGATACTGACACCTCAGAGAGCCCTGTTCTGGCTCCAGGCAGCTTCAGAGAAATAGCAAGTACTCATTAATGCTGTGAGTGCCAAAGGCTGATTAAAACCACAGGCTCCTAGAGTTGTGTTGAACTTGAAGATTCTGCTTAATTTTTGTGATGAAGTAGAAATCTGGGGCTCACTAGAGGAGAACCCCCCCCCCCCCCAAGGATACCAGGATGTGGGGAATTCTGGGAGGAGGGGCACGGGAAGGGCTGAGGCCGGGAGGGCCCTGGAGGCAGGGGTGGCAGGTCAGCTTCAGAGCCAGTCCTGGGAAGACCCGATCCCCAGGCCTCTGCTCTCCAACCTCTGAGGAGCACAGCGCCACCCCGCTGACCCTTCTGGGATACCCTGATACCAAGAGACATCTGCAGTCCTCTGTCCCTGATGGCTGCTGGAGGGAAATGACAAGGAAGGGGACGCTTTCCTGAAAGTGTGGGAAACGTGATGGATCAGGATGGAAGCCGGGCTCCCAACAGCAGCGCACATTCTGAGGCAGCCCTGGCCGGGCGCTACGCAGCCTGGGGACCCACCTCAGAGTGAGCTGGCTGACCTTGGGTGTGTTACTTAACTTCTCTGTGCCTCAGTATCCACACCTGAGAAACAGGATGACAGTAACGCTTCCTCCTAGGGCATTGGGAGGCTTCAATGGGAGTCAGTCCGCATGAGGCCCTCAAGTCTAACGGCAGCTGGGGCATCATGAGAGCCGGGTGCAAGTGGCTGGTACTGTTACTGCTGCTGAGCGCTGGCTGAGCTCTAGGTTCTCTGCTAAGAGCTTCGCAACTGTTCTCTCGGTCCTCAGAACAGCCTCCTGGGGGGTCATGCTAGCGGTCTTGTTCTACAGGTGCGAAAACCAAGGCTCAGAGAGGTGAAGCCATCTGTCCAGGGCCACACAGTGCTGGGATCCAAGTTAAGAGCACTGCCTACAGATGTGGCTGCCACGGGTTACCATACTGTCCCTCCCTGTAGTACCCAGTTGTCTGTGCCATCGGGACCAATGGCACTGAACGAGCCAGAGTCCTGGGTGTTCATCCCTAGAATGGGGCAGGGAACCCCATGGACGCACATATGCCGAGAGGTCGCCGTACCATGATCTCCATGGAGCTCCAGCGTGACGTGCCCCAGTACATGGCCATCCCCTGGTTAATGACGTGGGTCATGGCGCGCACGGTCTCTGTCGGGAGAGAAGGGGACACTGCGGGTCGGGGGTGGGGTGACTGGGGGCATGGGGCCCAGCCTGGGGACATTCTGCAAAGACAGGTGGAGCAGGAGGTGGGGGGCTGCAAAGATGTCTTGCAAGCAATGTACTTCCTGGCTCCAGAGTCGGGTGTGGCTGGGGTTTCCAGGGACCGCAGGAAAAAGGGAACCACAGCCCAAGCAGCTGGCCTTGAAAACAATTTCCCCCGGTAGTTACGAGTCTTACGGAATCTTTGAAAAATGGGTTCTAGATGGACGGTGGCACTTCTATGGCGGATTGGAGAGAGGAGGGAAAGGTGAGATCAGAGGATGTCATTCTAGACGGTGGAATGGTGGGGGGGGGCGCGTCTCTAGTCTGGGGACGAATCACATTGGCAGAGGGCAACAGGAAGTTGCCTGTTTCGAGTCCCCCCCGCTTCGGGGTGTCCCAGGTTCTCCCTGGGATCTGGAGGACTGAATAGAGAGGTAATAATGGCATCCGTCCGGACAGCGGGCAGGGTGGGGCCCTGGATGGTTCCAGATGTGTCCCCAAGAGCCAGAAGTGGACATGGAAAGCCCCGTTTGTATCCGTCCCGGATTCTCAAACCAGCCCAGGAGCAGGCAAGGGACCCTCGCCCCAGCTACACGATACACTCTTCCTAGTACTCAAAAAAAAGTTTTTGAGAGACGAAAATCTGCCACTTACAGTCTCGCTACTGCTCCCGCACCAGGCTGTTTCAGCCCACGGGGATGCTGTGGTGTTAACAACATACTTGGCCTCGAATTTAAAGACCTCAAATGTCTCTCAGCTTTGCGGGGAGAAGGGCTGCGTCGTCAGACTCCTCGCTGGTCCCATACAGTGCTTGCAAGTCTCACTCCCACAGGCAGGGCAGGAAGGGGGCTCAAGAACAAGTGTCTGTCAAAACGAAGCGGCAACCTTGACCCCTGGAAGTCCTGTCTCTCCCCAGGTGGCTTGCTCATCTGCTGCCGACATGGCGGGGGGCTGGGGGGCCCCTGAAGATGGCAGGGGGGTGGGAGAGCCGGAGGAAGGAAGGAGAATGCAGGCTTTGTTCACCCTAGCTCCCCCTTGAATGGCACAGACCCTCGGGCACCTTCTCCCGCAGAGAACGGCACCTCTGTTTTGGATGTCATCCCGCCCCCATCCCGGGTCCCTGAGCGCCCCTTCGGCCGAGGTCCCCTCTTTCGGTAGAAAGCTAAGGTAGCTGGGGCTTCTCCCCTCTTTCGGTAGAAAGCTAAGGTAGCTGGGGCTTCTGGGGTGTTGGTCTTGGGGCAGGTATGCCCAGGGCCCCCGAAAAATCACACCTCGGCTTCCAGGCCTTCAGGCCGACCCCTGCCCTCTCCTTCCTTCCAAGGTCGGGGACTGGGCTCCTCTCTGCCCATCCTCGGGAGGAGGCTGGCAGGGAGGCCCGAAGCCCCGCCCCAACCCCCAGGGACCACCGACAGGCCGCCCGGTTTGACTGCCCACACCACTCGATGCCAAGGGGGACAGCTCTTGTCGGAAAGCCCAGGGGACCCGGGAAGATATCTGCCCACACCCAAGGCCAAGCTCAGGCTTCTGGCCGCTGTCCTTGTCGGCTTCCTCAGAAACGCTCCTAGGGTCCCCTGTGACCATGCAGCGTAACGGCCGATTCTTTTCAGCCACGGCCTCGGCCCACATGCCGGAGAGGGAAGCGGACACCCTCGTTCCCCAGCCTGGCTCCCTCTCATCCCTCAGCACAGCTGTCTCCCCACCCGGGAAATGGCACGATACACTGCAGCACCCCTTCTTCCATGCAGAGAGGGGGGTCCGCCGGGTGCCTGGGGGGCGGGGCGGGCCACCGGGGCAGGAGCCCGCCGGAGCCCGCGACCAGCTTGAGAGAGAAGGGGTCCCGGGCACGGCTGGCTGGGTGGACGGCCCACGCACGGGAGTCCGGCACTCTGCGCTTCTGCCCAAGCCAATGTCAGCGGCCCCAGACGCAGGGACCACTGGGGACAACTGTCCTGCACCTCGATATTTAATGCCGGCCGGCAGCAGCAGGAGGGCCCGATCCTTCCAGCTGCTGCCAGAACCCACAGTACCTCCTGCCTCGTCACAAATAATACATGGGAGGGGTCAGGTGGCAGCACCAGTTGGCAGGCAGGCGCCCTCCCACTGTGGAACACAGCCCGGCTCCCAGGGAGACCACGGCCTGCCCTGGGGCGGCCCTTAGCTCGGGGGCAGGCAGAGCCCACGCCAGGTCTCAGGGTTTGGCCCGCTCGCGTAGGTATCGTGCAAGGAGGCCGGTGACCGCGTTTTGATGGAGGGGTGGGGCTGCGGGGCAGGGGGCGAGAGCGGCAGGTGGCCCAGCCCGCCCAGGGGACGTGAGCACCACGCGCAGCCACGATGCTCGTGGAGGAGCCCGCGTGCCGTGACGGGGCAGCTGGCCACCGGTGTGTTTTGCTTCCGCTTGACGCAGGAGCTTAGCAGACGTGACCTACAACGTTAAGACGCGCTGGAGGCCGCTCGTTCTAGGGATCCCCCCGGTGTTGACTCCTGTGGGCCCCTGGTCTCCCCAACCCTCTCCCAGACCATCCAGGGTCAAGGTTTCAGGCGCCCATCCCAGCATCCTCAAATCAAGAGGAGCCCTGGTGGACAGACAGCCGGCCTCGAGGATCACGGCAGTGCAAGGCGGGGGGAGGGGTTGGGGGGGCAGGGCGGGGGGGTCATGCATGGGGCGGGGGGGGGGCGGCGGCCCGCCCCGGAGACACGAAAAGGCCGCGCGGGCCAGGCGGGGGTGAGGGCGGGGGCTCCACACTGCTTTGCTTTTCCTTCACTTGCAAGATGTTCTCATAGGGTGTTATTTTTCCTTTATGCATTTTATGGAGAAGTTTGTCTTGGGGGGAAAGAGAGTAGTGTAAATAAAAACACTGTCTCATAAAATGCAGCTCGGACACAGGAGTCAATAGTCGGGCTAAGGGTACTGTGTACCTTCTATGATGAATGTCCTTGACTTGGAGGAACTAAATGGGTCCCCTGGTGATAAAGAAAGATTTAAAGAGACCAGAGTTTATAGCTGTGGGAACACGGACAGGCGCGGTATGACAGAGAGCGTGGGGAGGGGACGCACAAATCTTCCCAGAATACTCGTTTTGTTTAAAGACAAAAAAACGAAAAGACAAAAACCAAACAGACCACACAGACCCCACACGCAAATATATACACGCACGCGTGCTCGGTATATATAGAAACAAATGAAGAAAAAATAACTTGAACGCAACTTCATTTTCCAAATCCCTGAAGCAGCAAAGCACAAATGAGGAGCCTGAAGCAGGAATGGGGGGGGGGGTGATGGGAGGGCGGAGATGGCGGGAGAGGAAAGAATAAATACGCGGCAAAGAAACCAAAACTGCTTTTCAAAGCACCGCGCTGTTTTTTTTTTTTTTTTTCTCCTCTAAGTAACAATTTATCTCTCAGAGCTGGAGGCCCCTAAAACCTCCGGGCAGAACAGGAGTATGACTGAAAAGAACACAGCAGTTGCAAACAGCCATCATATCGTGACTTCATTTAGCTACGAAATAGCAAGAGCTGAGAGGAGAGAACGTTCCACTCGGTTCTGAACCCGGGAGGGGGCTTAGAGCCCGCACGGATCAGGTGCATATGGACCCAAGGCCAGGACGGGGACTCGGGGACTCCGCCTGGAGGTGCCAGGCCCCCCCGCCCCGCCCGCCCCCAGCAGCCGGGAGGCCTGGGTGCCCCGCGGAGAACCCACCTTCCATGGGCGTGTTGGGGTCCGGGCGGTTGGCAAACACCACATCCACGTACTCCAACTGCAGCCGCTCCAGCGAGGCTTTCAGACCTGGTGGGAGGAGTCAGGAGGGGTGGTCACCATCTTCACTGACACTGCTGGGCCCTCACCCGCGCACCTGCGTGCGGCACAGGGAGCAAGAGGTCCCAGGCACCCGGAGCCGTCACACGGCGTGGGGACACGTGTGGGCAGGTGCCACCGGAGGTGAAGAAGAGCCAGGACCTAAGTGGGTGCACGCCCCAAAGCGGGGGGGTCGTGTGGTCGGGTCCACAGGCCAATGCTCTGTGCACGAAGGGGTGCCCTCCTGCACGCCCTGGGGGCCCACGTGGTGACGGGGAGAGCCAGGTTCTCCGGCACGGAGTGGGAGCTGCATCCCTGTCCACGCACCAAAGGCACAGATCACCAGTGAGCGCTGAGCAAGGGCTCAGAGCAGAGCCGCACAGAGAAGTGCTGGGGCTGCGGGGGCCGCAGCAAAGCCCCCCTAATCGTGTGATTCTTAAAGGGACGGGTGTATCATCTGGGAGCCCAGGTGGAAAAAGGCACAAAGACGACACAAGTATAGGATAAGCGGGACAGCCTACCCGACCCCTCTCTCCCCCCCCCCCCCCCCCCGCCTCTCTCTCTCTCTCTTTCTCTCACTTGTGCACAGAGCGCCTGGCTGTGTCTGACACACACCTTTCCTGGGTTCTTCCCAGTCCTCCCTCAAATCCCAGAGGTGGCCACTCTTCCCACACCCATTTTACAGATGTTGCCACAGAGGCTTGGGGAAGTGATGTCCTTTGCTCAGGACCACCAGTCAGCATGGGGCCCGGCCCGGGCCTGTCTTGTCTTCCCCAGGACCACAATGCCCATCTGAAGGCGGTGGTGCCCTGCTCTGGTGACGCGGAGGCTGGGTGGAAGGAGAGGGTGGGACCAGAGCGCGGGGCATCTCCAGGCCTAGGCCTGCGCGTGTGGCTGGTGGGCGGGGGCACTCTGTGTCCTTCACTTGGGCATCTGCAGGAGGCTCCGTGGGTTCAGGGGCCGTGTGGGGCCAGCGCGCCTCCCTCACCTTCTATTATGTGCTTCCTGGAAAGGCCCCTCTCGGTCTCCGCTCTGAAAAACAGCACAACAGCGTGAGTGATGTTGCAAGCGGTTTTGGGGGAAATGTTCATGGTGCAACGTTAGGCCAAGAAAAGTAGGTCAGTGAGTGCCACGCGCATCTGATTCCACTTGGGAGACAAACCACAGGCTCCAGGGGTGCGTTCGTGCAGCCAGGAGGAGGGGCTCTGCCCGGCCGGCCTGGGGGAGTGGGGGTGGATGCAGGGGGAGGGGTCTCTGGGTTCCAATAGGCCCTTCTGTTTTGCTTAGATTTTTTTTTTTTTAAGTGAAGAATGAATCGTATTTATAATTCCTAGGAAGCCGATTTGGTCCGGCCCTAGAGACAATGAGGGGCCAGACCGCTGGAAACGGGCAGGCGTGGTCTGTGGCCAGGGAAGGTGGCACGTGGTTGAGACAGTTCACGAATTTTCTGGGTTTCCCAGAGTTTTGGGGATGTTACCCCTGTAATCAGAAAAAGAAAAAAAACAAAACAAAACAAAAAACCAAACAAAAACCAAGCCCATGAAGGTAAAAAATACAAATGAAACAAGGTTTGAGTAAAAGGCAACTCAGCCGAAGCTGCTTTTCCGGGACTTGATGTCCCTCAGTGGGGCTGGGCACCGGCCGGGGCAGACGGCTGCACAAACACCCCCCGCCCCGGGAGAGCCTCCCGATTCTGGGCGGTGGCTGCTGACCCCTGACCCCGGCCGGGAGCATGCGTGCACTGCACCTACTTTCCTCCCCAGAAGATCTTGGTGGTGATGACCAGGCTGGACCGTCTGCGAACAGAAGAAGAGGGGTGTTACTGGACGTAGCTGGGGTGGGGAGGGGGGTGTTCAGTTTACAAAGAGGGTCCTAAACACCCTTCTCATCTGGGAGCACGGGGTGTGAAATGGGTGCTTCTAGATCATTTCATGTTTGCCGTGTGCGAGCCCGGGGTCCTGGGGCTCCCCGTCGAGCCAGGAGACAAGCCACAGACGCAACGAACTCATCTTGAAGTTGGGCAGTGGGGGCCGGGGGGGGGATGGAGTCTCACGCACCAGACCGGAGCCCAGAGCAGGACACACACTGGGGGGTGCAGGGAGCACGCTCCCAGGAGGTCAATGCAGGGGCTGCAGCAGAAGGAGGGGCTCCAGTGGGGATGCCGAAGGTGAAGGCGAGGGGGCCAAGCAGCCTGGCTCTTCCCCTACAGGCCGGAGACAGGCTTTCAGAAAGCGGTTTGCGGGACGGCCTTGGGGAGAGCCTGGGGCATCCGGAGGGAGAGACAGGCGGGTGGCGCAGGACCCGGGGTGTGAGGGAGCTGGTGTGTGGGGTGATGGAAAGCCCCGAGGGAAAGGAATAGATTCGGGCCTCCCGCTGTGAATCCACAAGAGGCAGGAGCTGACACCTGTTTGGTCCTGGAGGGATGAGCAGCGGTAAGGATGGCCCCTCCAGGCCACATCTCATCAAGACCCTTCCCAGGGGAGGGGGTGCCCGTGTCCCCTGTGGTTGTGCTTTCCTCCCTTGGAAGCAGGGGGGCTGCTCAGGAAATAGCTCCTCAAAGTCAGAAGCTGTGGCCCCCTTGAGCTCCGTCTCCAGGCAGGGGGGTGACCGGATATGCATTTCCCGAGTATTCACCTAAGACCTATTCAGGGGACCCACTAATACATGCGATTTCCTTTATTACATGCGATTTCCTTTATTACGGCGTGAGGAGGAATTCTGTGATGAATTAGAGCCGAGAAGAAACAAACAGCTTGGTTGGGACAAGAGGAAGGGTGTCTGTCATCTGTCCCCAGGGGGTTTTGCACTCGCTGGGTGGGGGGGTGGGGTGGGGGGTGGGATGGGGTGGGGGGGCAGCTTTACAACAGCGTCTGCTCTTTCTGAAAATAAACACATGCAGGCCTCAAGGGGCCCCCAAGTGCAGGCAAGGGCCCAGCCCCGTCTGTCCTGGGGAGGGTGGAACCCTCAGGCTTCTGAACGCCTTGTGGGGGGACCCCAGCCACAAGGGCCACCACTCCCCAGACAAGTGTGATGTGCAGCCCTTAGCTGGCCAGCCGTTTGACAGACTCAGGCCCTCGAGCCTCAGGACAGCCCTGCCAGCGAGGCCAGACGTGGTCCCTTTACAGGTAGGGCCAGTGGCAAAGGGTGGAGTCCAAGTCCGGAGAAGGATGTCCCTCTTCTCAGTGGCTATACCCTCTGCCTTACCCGGGCCATCTGGGAAGTCCTCATGTCCAGATCTTTTTGGCCTGACACAAATCAGAGTGCAACCTAGCTCCCTGGCCCCTGAATCCCTGCTGGACCAGAGGTAGAGATCAGAGGCAGAGGGGCAGAGTCAGGGGCACAAGGACCCCCCCACCCCCCCACCCCGCTCAACTCCCCCTTCAAGCAGAGATGCCTCTGGTCTTGGGGAATGGAGTTTGGCACCTCACTTGGCGACTCAGCCGAAGCTTCCCGCCTCACCGCAGCAGCCCCCACCACAGTGTGAATGCTCTCTACCCCTGGAGGCAGCCCGGGGCTGGAATATTCTCCCCCGCCCAGTGAGAACAGTTCTGAGAAGTTCCAGGCTTTCGAAGGACTGGCTGGCTGCCCAAGGGCCAGTGAGGCCTCACTGAGCACTCCACTGGGCAATAGGAAAGAGCAGCTTCGGGGCCCTAGTCGGAGCTCGCCCAGGACCCAGCACGCATCTGTCCCTCACGGTGCCCTCCTCCCTCCCACCTGCCTTTTCCACGCTTTTCCCCGTGTGCGCCCTGGACACTGACCACAGAGAGAACAGGGTGATTACCTCCATCCCTTCTTCTTGATGATGTTTCCTAATACCACTTCAGCCCTGCAAGAAAGACCGAGATACGGGGATTTCATCACAGCGCGACAAAAGCGTTAAACCTCGCCCCTACCATGACAATGGGCCACTTGGTCCCCTCTGCGGAAATGCCACTGGGGCCAGAGAGCCAGGCTGTTCATGCTCGCCTTGCCTTGGACACTTCATTCCAGAACGAGGAGAGAGCCTGCGAGCGGCTGTCACCCCCCATGAAGGTGGCCGTGAGCGGTGCCCCTGCAGGAGCCTGTATGAGCAGACGGCTCCGGCTCTGACAGGGAAGGAGCCAGCTGATGTCCTGTTGGCGAGGCCTGCCGTTTCCCATTTCCCTAGCCTGCTGGAAATTCACCGGGGAAGATGTTTGGCGACGTTCCGTGGGTGAAGTTTCCAGAGAAGTGTATATATATTTTTTAAAAAGGTAAATTATTCATCAAGCGCATCCTCTCTTTTCAGAGACGATCAACATGTACTCAGGGCCAGGGGCTGAATTTCCAGCAGGGTGCACGCGTGTGTGTGTGCTCACGTGTGTGGGTGCGTGCATCTCTCTTGTTTCTTGCTTTTGAACACTAAAGAGACAAACGCCACGAGGACTGCTCTCTGTTCTTTTTGGCGTCACTCTGGCCCTGCACCAAACCTGGGCTGGCGGGGGTCACGGGCGGGGCTGTTCCAGCCTTGCCTGGCACTGTAGCGCTGGCTTAACTTTTAAGAACTTTCCGCTTGTAGCGAAATGTTTCTGAGTAAAAACAACAGACGGAGAATGATCCATACCCAGTGCTACATTCCAATTATAAAAGCGCCTGAGTCATCCGCTCAGAAATAATGGGCTCTAATTTGCAAGCTGTTCAGCATACATTCTGAATGCTCGTCATTCATGGTCAAGATGTACAGAAATTCACTCAGCCCTGGGCCTCTTCCTTTTATTCCTTGGCCCCTCGTTTGTGGGACAAAAGATGAGGAAAGCAGGAAGGGGAGAAAATGAGGAGTGGTCCTGGGGTTGCAGGAGCTGTAGAGCATCGGCTAATCAAAGCCTGTTGCTTGTGGCTGTGAATTGTTGTGGCCCTGCATTTGGGAAGCCTGACATCTGCCTGGGGCTGGGGTGGGGGGGGGGGGGGCGGTGGTGGAGCGGGTACAGAAATCCTGCAGCTCTCTGGTAAGCGCCCAAATTAGCATCAGCATAAGAAGCGGGGGGCTCAGCAAAATACGTGCTTGGCATTCTGGTTAGCAAGAGGGACAGTGCCGGGCCCAGAAGCCACCGGAGGAGCCCGGCGGCCCCCCCACTCCCCCCCAGAACAGCTTCTTGTGGCCTGTCCCTTGCTCCCCGTGTGGGTCACTGCTGCCACCATGCCACTGATGGGACTGAGGGCTGGACTGAGAAGGAGCCGCAGAGGCGCGCGGAGGAGAGGACAGGGTGAGGGCAGTGGGCTCCAGGGGTAACAATAACCCACCGGAAGCTGCTCTGAGTCCCCGGCTGCCGGCAAGGGGCTCCGAGAGGCCCTGAGGCTGCCAGATACCCAGTGCGTTTGCTCTGCTACGCCAGCCCTGGGTGTCCAGTTCTTCGGGGGGAGTGAAGACGGGGACACAGGGAGTGTGGCGGCTGTGGGGTGGGGCGTGCAAGGCTTGTACACGGGGGCCAGGCCATCTGGAGCCCGAGAAGGCTGCCTGGAGCTGTCTCCCGCGTGCTCTCATGGGCAGCAAAACCAAGACAGGAGCAGGGCCAGGGAACGCCTGCGGGCCTGGCATCCGCATCGGGCTTTTCTACCTCTGACCCTTTGCTTGGTTCATCTGTCTGGAAAGCATTTCACTTTGATGGGAAGAAGCTGCCAGCAGGGAGGGGTTAGGAGGGGGCTGTAGCACCGGGGGGGGGGGGGGGGGGGGGGGGGGAGGGGGGCTGACAGGGACTGAGGAGATCTGGGGGTCCCAGTGCAGGTTCCTGGGGCTGTCAGATCCTCAGACCCTGGGTTGAGACTTGAGAAAACGCCCTGCTGGGTCCCTGATTCTCAGAGCTCTGGGCCCCAACTCAAGCCGCAGGTAACAACCCAGAGCCCTCAAGGCAGGTGCTGGCCCTGCAGCAGCCACGGTGCACAGCCAGCCAGGCTGCAGCCGACCCAGCTGATGGGAACTTGCCTCGCCCCAGGCAGGAGGGGCCAGAGGGAGGACGAACAGAGAGCCAACAGATGACTTCACCAACAAAAGCTGACTTTTGGAAACCCGATGCAGGAGAGTGGATGATTTGATTACAGCTAGTCTTTAAAACTGAAGCCAGCAGCCTTGGCTGAAGAGGGCTTTTACATAATTGAGTAGGGAAGTTCACTGCCAAGATGGGAAGTGCTTCCTACAGTGCTCGGCTGGCCAGACTCTGCTCCCCCCAGCTCGAGAGGCCCTGCCGTTCCCTGCAGCTGTACCATTAAGACGTGGGAATGTCAGGCATGTGGCGCTGGCCGCAGGAGCGCGGGGGACGGAGGACAGCTTAATCAGGCTCTGGCCCAGCACAGCATCTCAGGCACCAGAGGGACTGTGGTCCTCTCTGTGTTTGGATACATGGGGAGTTTAGTAAGTGACCTGTGTCCCAGTGTTCTGCAATTCTGGCCCCATGAAAACAACACCTTCTGAAGCCACTTAGACTTTAGAAAAGCAGGCAGAGTGGGAGGCCCATTTGTGGACGTTTGGGAACAAGGACCGGAGTACCAGCAGCTCTGGCTCTTCCCAGGGAAGCCACGGCCTGCACCACACTTTCCCCACGAGAAAAGACACGTACTTGCCCGCCGCGTAGACTTCTGCAGTATCGAAGAGGTTGATGCCATTGTCGTAGGCCAAGGTCATCAGCTGCTCTGCTATCTGAAATGAGAAAACCAGGCTGCTAGTGCACAGCCCTGTCCTGCCAGGCTGGGGGGCGTGCCTGGGGTTCCAGGGCATCGCCTCGTGGCTGGGGGGGGGGGTCCCCTGGGCGTCCACGCCCTGCACCCGGGGCTCCGCTCGGCCTCTCCTGCCGCGGGACAGGCGTGGAGGCAGCTCTCAGCAGCGGACCCACAAGAAGGAACAGCTTATGGGTTGCGAGTTTCAGGCAAGCGGGACTCTTATCTGTTGGGTCATCACAAAGCTTAGCACCTATACCGGGTTGAACACAGCCCCCCGATAGGAGGGCGGTAGATCCGGCGGGGGGGGGGGGCGGCGCCAAATGAATAGGTTTTTAAAGGTGTCCTGTGGCCGCATGCCTGATTCCTTCCCAGCAACCGCACGAGGATGCTGTTACTACTGTTTGCAGGTGGAGGAAATGCCACCCTGAGCCGGCAGGCACGCTGGCCTCACGGGAGGCCAGAGTTTGCTGTCCAGGCTGGTCTAAGTATGAGCTCGCGCTTCAGCAGCAGTGACCCACTGGGAGTGGGGGTGAGGCTCGAGCAGCCGGGGGAGGCCCCCCTGCCATCAGCAGCCCCCCCACGCTGCAGCGGAGAACTCTGCCGGTCCTCTGGACAGCGCAGGTGTCCCTTTGAGAGTCGTGGAGGCGAACTCCCCCGCCCCTCACTCCTCAAAGCTCAGCTCGGGTGCCGAGCCTGCGTCCCCAGCTGCCCAGGGTGGGCTCGGTAACATTCCACAACCCTCAAAACCCGTAGGACGAACAGCCAGCCACATTCGGGTTCGCAGAGATTTTCTCCATACCGGACTCAGAAGCCCCACGGGCCGGACAGGTATGGAGGGTGAGGCCGGTGGCCGGTGGGGAACCCACACTCCGTCTCCGCCCCTGGGAAGGCAGCTCAGCGTGACCACACTCCTTGATTTTTTTCAAGAGAAGCCAGAGATCCAGGGAATTTGGGGGTGGTAAAAATTTCCTGATTTTTCAAACGTGGGCAAGGAACCCCAAATATTTCTGATACTGAGCAGGCCAAAGCTAACTCCCATCAGTCAGCATCTGTCGTTTGAGTCAGAAAGCCCAGGGGGTGGTCAGGCTGTCCGCGGAGGATTTTTTGGATCCACCTGCAGGGCTGACGGCTTCACTGGCACTTAAGTGTGATCACGCTGTCGGGAGGCGTCCGGGCGCCCTCCCGGAGACTCCCCCAAACCCCCATGCATCTCTCTCCACCTTGGGGGTCCCTTTCTTGCTCTTCAGCGCTCCAGGCACAGCAGGCTCCCTCACCAGTTCATCTTGTCTTCATCCAGACTTTTCCGGGGTGCGTCCCACCAAGCTGCCCGAGCTCTGTCCGGGAGAGCACCCAGCGCTGGGCCCCGGCAGGGTTATACAGACGGTTTGGGGGTGACGCTGCCTCCTGGGGAGGGTTCTGAGCCGAGGTGACTCAGGGCCAGGGCTTTTATTTTGATACTTCAGACACTGCCCACTGTGGATATTGTGCTCTCTGCTCTTCTCACGCTACATCTTGGAAATCAACCCAAATTAGTGAAAACGATTTAAAACCTGTGGCCAAATATGCATAACATAAAATTTACCACTTTAACCTTTTTAGTATACAGTTCTGTGACATTAAGTACGTGCATGTTGTACGGCCATCACCCCCGCCCACTTCCAGAACTTTCTCATCTCCCCAAACAGAAACTCTGTTCTCTGACACACTAACTTTCCATGCCTCCCTCCCCACCAGCCCCTTGGTGCCCACCCATCTATTCCCCGTTTCTATAATTTTGACTCCCCTAGTTACCCCATATGAGTGGAGTCTCACAGTGTTTGTCTTTCTGTGACTGGCTGGCTTATCTCATTAGCTTGGTGCCTTTAAGGTTCCTCCATGTTGTAGTGTGGGTCAGGATTTACACGGCTGGGTTTTGAAGGATGGTTAGGAGTTTGTCAGGCAGGAAGGGGGAGAGTAGGTGGAGGCGGGTGGGTAGAAGGAGGGTAGCTTGCTGTGTCTTGTCCTTCCTGTGCGCAGGTCCAACACCTGGGCCTCCTCCTTGCCCAGCTTTCTCTTACTCCAGCATCGGAACTTTGGCCGGTCCTTCCAGCTCCCCCTTGAAGCTGATCTAAAATTGGACCCCCCTGCCCACCTCCACTGCAGCCACCTGGTCCAAGCCAGAATGCCCTCGGCTGGGTTTCTGTGGTGGCCCCTGACTCTCTCCACTTCTGTCCTTGCCTCCAACACTCTACCTGAGCAAAGTGCAGTCCACAGACCAGCAGCATCAGCACCACAAATGCAGAATCCCAGGCTCTGGCCCAGACCTGTCACAGCAGAACCTGCATTTTAACTGGATTTCCGGGAGGTTCGTGCATACATTACAACTTGAGAAGCAGCCCCCACCATCTGGCGGGAGGGACTGGCTGTCCTCAGTGGAGCAGCGAGAGTGAGCCTTTTGAGTTAAGTCAGGTCAAATTTCCTCTGTCCAAAAGTCTCCAGTGGCTTCTCTGCCACGGATGGTCAAAGCCAAAGTCCTCACCAGATCTGCTCCCTCACCTCTGATCCCATCTCTTGACCTGAGGCTCCTCCTGTGGCCTCTTGGAGGCTGGGGACAGTCCTGTTCCCTTGGCCTGGAATGCTCTCTCTCTGAATCACCACATGGCTCACGCTCACTCCAGCTTTCCTGATCGTCCTGCGTAAATTGGGAGCCCACATCCCAGAACTCCTTTCTCTGCTTTCTTGTTCTCTGTGGTTGACTAAATAACGGCTCCTGGAGCCTGTGAATGGTCCTTTGGGTAGAAAAAGGGTCTCTGTAGATGTGACTACATTAAGGGTCTTGAGATAGGCGATGCTCTCAGATTGTCACGTGGGCCCTGAATGCTACAGGTGTCCTTGTAGGAGGGAGGCAGAGGAAGGATCTGACACAGACGAGCGTGAACGTAACCACAGAGGCCGAGGCTGGAGTGATGTGGTCACAAACAGAGGGCTGTGAGAAAAGAAACTTCTGTAGTTCTAAAACCATGCCGTTGGTGGTAATTCGTCAATGCAGCCACAGGACACATCTTGCCCTCAGAGATAAGATGTGCTTACGGTCTGTCCCCCTCCCCAGAAAGATAGCAGCCGATGACAGGGACCTGGCACTCTGCGGGTGGCCACCAGGCACGAGCTGGGTGGAGACCGTCCTCAGCTGGCCCCGGTGGCCTCCTGACCGCCCTCCCCCACCACCTCCTCACTGTCCCTGTCTACGCCTTGCTCCTCCCTTCCTGTGCCAGGGAGACCTCCTCCTGTTCACTGAGCTAGAGCATGAGTGCTGTGAACACGCCTAGATCCCACCCCCACGGAGGACAAAAGCCGGGCAAATTCGCACAAACCAGGCCCTGGCCTCCATGCATGGAAGATTAGCAGGCTCTGACTCAGAGGACACCCGTCCCATTTCACCTGTCGCTTAGCAGAAGGACATAAACACGATCCTAACCACACCAGGACGATGACAAAGAGAATGAGGGCACAGGAATTTTCAGGGCTGGGCTTTTTATTTTTGTCAATGCTAGGATTTTGGTATAATTCCTCTTCAGGTTTTTCTATGTGAATATATGCTTTTTCCCTGCAAAACTACGGCTCTAACACACAGACCGCTGCAGGTGCTGTTATCCACGCGCCCTCTCTGGGCCTGTTCCCGTCATTCTTCAAAACGTGACTTCTGAAGACTTCCGCTCTGTGGGCGTTGTCCTACTTTATGTGATGGGGCCTCTATTTTGTGAGTGGCTATTTCCAACATCAGAAACTAATGGCAGGAGGAACTTTAGGAGACACGTGGGCCTCCTCCCTTCTGCTCCTACTCAGGGGACCAGGAACCCATCCCATCCCAGACCTTGGCCCCCCTCCAGGATTCTCCAGGTAGACCTCGGGCACCTGACGTGTCTCTGGAGCTCTGTGTCCTCGAAATAGGGCTAACACTACCTCCCTGGGTCGATGGAGGATGGAGTGCCATGATAAATGTCAAGTTTAGGGGTGCCTGGGCGGCTCAGTCGGTTGAGCGTCCAACTTCGGCTCCGGTCATGATCTCACGGTTCGAGGGTTCGAGCCCCGCGTCGGGCTCTGTGCGGACAGCTCAGAGCCTGGGAGCCTGCTTCGGATTCTGTGTCTCCCTCTCTCTCTGCCCCTCCCCTGCTCACACTCTCTTTCTCTCTCAACAATAAACATTAAACAAGTTAAAAAAATAAATAAATGTGAAGATTTTAGCTACTATCCTTATTAGATTTTTAATGCCCGGGCCGCTTTGAACGCATGCTCTGAAGAGGAGTTTTTCGACTGAGCAGCTGTGTCAGGTCACAGGAAGGGCACCAGACTAGAGTTTGGAAACTTGACTCTGACCAGGGCGGCCCCCACACCAGGCCACATGATCAGAGCTTTACTAACACTCTGCCAGGCTCCCCGGGGCCACAGCCCCACAGACATTTGCAGCGAGCTGCTGTGAACCCAGAAGGCAGGGAACGGCAGACCTTTTCTGGGAAGGACCAGAGAGTAAAGACTGTGGGCGGTGGGGCTTTGGGAAAGTGGCCATTACAATATGTAAATGAGTGGGCGTGGCCGCCAGTCAATAAAACTTTATTTATAAACACCTGGTTGTGGAATTCATAGAGATAGTAGAATAGAGGCTCCCCAGGGGCTGGGGGATTATTCCCTCATGGTTCCAGAGTTTTGTTTAGGGCGATGCAAAATTCTGGAAATAGACAGTGGTGATGGTTGCACGGCAAAGGGGATGTACTTAATGCCCCCGAACTGTATGCTTATAAACGGTTAACGTGGTAAATTTTATATTATGCACACTTAACCACAATAAAAACGGTGCAAATAGCAAATCTTATGTTTCATAAACTTAATTAAAAGAAAAAAAAAAAAAAAAAGGACCAAAACTGGGCTGGGGGCCAGAGTTGGCCCGAGGGCCATGCTGCTCACTGCCGTTTGCGGAGTCCTGCCGGGGAACACCACCTTGCCACAGAAAATCCACCGGCTCCTTGTTTCTGTATCTCCCCGGCATCACGGCGTCTCGTGTACAAAAGGGAGCTCTAAAAACAGGACCCTGTTTCTGGATTCTTTGGCAGGGCAAGCACCTTCCTCTGGACACACCGTGCTCCAGGTGGGGCACCCGTCTGGGATGCGCAGTGGCCCGTGGCCACCCTGGTCTGGGCAGGAAGCCAGCCAGCTAGAGAATAAAACCCGGCCATTCATCTGAACCGCGGCGAGGTGGGCCCCTCATCCTTGACGTATTGATCTTGTTGGACACTAAATGTAGGATTTAATACGAAAATTCTGTTTGCTCCCTCGCTCAATCACTTTCGCCTGCCAGGACCTTTTAGAACCCCAGATCTGTCATCTATTGTGTCCGCTGTCCTCCCAGCTTTGTGTCATCTGGAAACGACTTCTGGTATCTTCACACGTGTCACTATATACAGGACGGAGACGCGGCGGAGGCCGGAACCAGCGAGGCCGCCATTGGATCGTTAATCAATACTCAGGGTGCAATGTATCTGTTGGTGAAGATGTCACCTAACTGGATGGTTATGATTTCGCCACTTCTCTGTATCTTTCTCACAAAGACGTCACACGTGGGGGAAAAGAAGTCCTTCCCCTCCACGTCAAAAGGGAAACAGGTGAGTCACCCACTACTTCCTTAGGGTGAACCACATGGGCTCCGGGGCTCCGACTTTATATTCTAAGTGCTCTGAACCAATCTGGTAGCTGAAGGCGAAGCAATCCCATGCACCTTAAAAACCCCTCACTTTACCCTGAGATAGTCCAGAGCCAGACTTCGAGGACCAGCGACTGCCACAAAACCAAAACGGAACAAAAGCACAAGTTAAATACATTTCGATTTTGACGGAAGCAAAGCTTTTCCTCTGAAAACGAACCGAGCAATCACAGCTAACACGGTCTCAGATGAACTCACTGATTAATTTTTAAACGTGACCTTTCTGAGAGTAAGTAGGGCAGGCATGAGGACAGCTTCTTGTGCAGATGTCCAGGACTCTCTAAGCAAATGCCACTGTTCTCATCTCCAGGATATTCACTCACTGGCCCGACGTGCACAGCAGCCCGGGGTGCACCCGCCTCTCCACGGCAGACGCCGCGTGGCGGTGGGAAGCCAGAAGCCCCAGCAAGTACCGTCACGGCAGCTCCGGGAAACGCAGTTAGGAGCTCGGTGAAATGGGGAGCCACTCAGAGTCCTCGGCTTGCGGTCAAATTTGCCGAATCCGCATTCGGAATGACCTCCACGGATACTTACTGAAGTTCCAGATCCGCGTGGGTGTTCTCTGTCGGAGCAGCTTAGAAATCCATCGGGCTTTGTAATTTGGAAAGCATGCGCTGCCTGCATTTTCCTGGCTAGCGGTGGAATAGGTGTGCAGGTGAGAAGCCGGAGTTTCTGTGCCTTTAGGGGACTCATGGACGCCCCAAGGCACCCAGCCGCTAAGCACAGGCACAAGACCGTTCGATATTGCCGTGGCTCACCTCACCGTTCCCGCTACCCAAAGGGTCAAGGCACCCTTGAAGAACAGAAAGAGGGAGGCTGCGGTGGCCACTGTGAGCACAGGCCCAGTGGTTCATGTGGTGGATTTTACCATGTGCCCGGCGTGGGCAGCCCTTGCTGGGACCTGGGGGCCGAGGGAGCCCCGTCTTACCTCATCGGTGATCTGGCCTCCGAAGGTCACCCATGTTCCTGGAAGGAGACACACAGACTCAAGTCAGAGAGCCTCCCCAGGGAGCTTGGACCTCCCCCACAGTGCTCAGTCCTCAGGCTGCAGGGCCTGGGGGGAGGGGGCGGGCAGCCACAGGCCACCGTGCCCCTCTGCTCTGCGGTGAGCATGTCCTCGGCACATGTGGACACCTGGCCTTCAGGGCAAGTCTTCCTCTCTTGGGGCCACCAACCTGGGGGACAGGACGTGCCTGGAGCAGGCAGCCGGGTGCAGATCTTTGAGCTGCTCGTTGGGGCTCACGCTGACGTGGCTCCCATTCTGGTGACCGGCCACACGGAGCAGGGTGAGGGGTATCTCCCTGAAAACAGGCTACGTCTGACAGCCACACCCGCACTCTTGCTGGACGGCATACACGTGTATGTGTGTGGAGGGGTGTGGCGGGAGCATACTGTGTGTTCCATGGAGGTGGAGGGACAGTGTATTCTGGGAGCAGAACTCACATCCGGGCAAAAAAATCCACCTGCCCTTTATGAGGACATTGCCACGTGAGGAACGAAGATGGTCTCCAGACACACCTGGGGCCAGCGTGCTTCTCTAATATTCTGGCACGAGGCAGGGGGCTGTGTGGGCACAGGGCTCTGATAGCTTGCCTTGTCTCCCCCCTCTCTCCCCTAGGACACCCCCACCTCCTGGTTGCCATGGCAACAGCCTCACCAGCGCCCCCCCCATCCTGGCTCCCTACCCTTACCCCCAGGAGTGGCCCCTTGAGTCCCCCCCAAAGCCCCTGCTCCCTTGGGGGGCACTGGACCAAGGGGGCCCCACACTCACCGAGCCCCAGGCAGGAGACCCGCAGGCCCGACTTGCCCAGGTTCCTGGAAAACAAACTTGGTGTGAGTTCTCAGGAGTGGCACAGGACCTGGCAGCCAGGCGCAGGCCCCCCCCCCTTCCCCGTGCCCCATTCCTTGAGCCCCCCACCCTAGTCAATGCATCTTTTGAGGCTCTGAAGGCCACGGGTCCTTTGGAGAGAGTCCTACTGTAGCTCACCTGCCCCCTGGGGGTCAAGAGCCAACTGTCCACTTCCCGCCCCCCTGCCCCCACCCCTGCCACACACACACCACAGTTCGGCCATGGCCTGGGCCTTGCTGGTGCCCATGGTGGGGCCTGGAGAGCGCCCCAGAGAGAGGCTGGCAGAGTGGACAGTGTCTTGTTTCACGGGCGAAACAAGGCTGATGTAGGCGTGGCAGTGTTCTGCTGAGGACTGGATGCCCATCTGTCCCGGCACAGGCCGGCTGGGGGCCTGCGGGGGCAGCGACTCATCGAGGATCCTCCACAGCTCTGTGGGTCAGGCACCTTCCTTTTCCCAATATTCCCACTTGACCTGAGAGCATGCCGGACCCGCCCAGGAGCGGCGAAGCCAGGAGTCCACCCAGGCGGTCAGCTCCAAGAGCATGCTCCCCACCACGATGGCATGACCCTGTCCGCATTTACGGGGGACACAGGATGCGAGCTGCCCAGATGGGGAAGTTGGCCGGGGCAGGGTTGGAGTCCACTACCCTCAGGGGGACCCCACTGCCAGCATCTCAGTCCTGGGACCGGCCCCCGGGTGCAACACCCAGCCAGGCACCGGGCAGTCAGAGAGTTGTGACAGACCCAGAGGGTGAACCCCAGCCTCCGTCCCCGAGGGCCCCAGCTTTTCCCTGGGGGTACCCCACTTCCAACTTTAGTGGATGCTGTGTCCTCAGTTTCTCCACCCAAACGTGGCCCCCTCGGGCCCTCTGAAGCTTCGGTTTCCTGCTTCCAAGATCCACAGGTGGTTGTGGGAGGTGGGGAGGGGGTATGATAAACTTGTAAGCGGTTTGAAAACAGTTTCACGTGTCTCCAAATTTAAAGTAGTTCTGGAATGCGCAGGCTTCTGTTCAAATTTCCCATTAAAAAACCAGCCCGGCTGCCAGCCCACAGTTCCTGCAGGGAGGGCTGGGATTTTCCCTAAATAAAGTACAGAACAGAACAGCAGCTGGTTTCTCTTTCGGGGAGGGGGGCAGATGGAGCAGAGGCCCTGAAGCCAGAGCTCAAACCCTGGCTATGCGTCTTTGGGTGTGCGGTGTAACCTCGTGATGCCTCAGTGTGCCCCTCTGTAGAATGGGCTCACAGTGCCGGCCGAGAGGATGACACGAGATAACACGTGTTCCCCCGGGGCACAGAGTCACAGAACACGGACTCTGCATGTGTCCCACTTCCAAGAGACAGGGCACAGAACACAGACAGAGGCCTTTTTTTCCTCACGCGAGAAGCAATGGACCAGTCAAGTACTTTTTTTTCCCCCTAGGAATCAGTGAAATAACCTGAGGGTGCCCTCAGCATGTCTCGTATGTTCTGGCTGCTCTCAAGGAAGGCACGATGCGTGAGGTGAGGGACAGTCGCCATACGTATCGTGGTGACCCTTTCATAGTGCACAGACACACGTCAGATCTTTATGTGGTATACCTTAGCCTTACACAGTGTTACCACATTTCCAGAAGCCTGTGGGAAAATACTTGATTTAACTTCAGATCTGCTATGAGAAATTTAAAATAGAGTATGTATGAAATCCAAGGGCTGAGTGGTCAAAAGACGTGACTTGAGAGTTCTCTTACATTCTTTAAGCCGTGTGTGAATTGCTGTTGCTTGCTAGGCAGGAAGGTAATTTTTGTTTTGTTGTCTGTAAATACACTGGAATTAAAAAGTAATTAAAAAAAAAAAAAAAAGAAAGAAAGAAAGGCAAAGCACATCGCCTGTAGACCATGCATCAGGCCGGGCCGATTTCACGGTGCAGACAATTTTCCCCACGCTAGTTGGAAGGGACCCGTGGCGAGAAATCAGAGCATTGCTTAAAAGCAGTCTGGTAACGAAGCAAAAAGGATAGAGGACTCTGATCAGTGGTTCTTAACTGTGGGGAGGTCACAGGCCCCTTTGAGAAACTGATAAAGGCTACAGACCCCTTCCCTGGAAATGTGAAGGACACGAAAACCCCCAGAACCCCGTTAGCAATGCCCGGCGGGCAGCGGGGGGAGCGGTTCACAGGGCCCCGGGCACCTGCTCTCAATAAATCCAGGTGCTGGAAGGGAGGCTGAGCTCCCGACTCTGCAAAACCGGCTCCCACCTGTGACCGTGGGAAGCAGTTTCCCGGCCAGGCTCTGAGGAAGGCTAAGCGTTAGGTATGTCCTCTCGGAGTTCCCTTTTACCAGCATGGAACCAAATGCCTGAACGTGCTGCGCATTCAGGGAGACGAGCGGCGTTAGCAACAGGCAGATGAGGGTACAGAACGCCTGGCTGTGTCCACCTGGGTCTGTGGCTGAAACTCGCCCACCAGAAGGGGCTCCTCGCCTCCGACCCAGGCTCTCCAGCTGCTTTTCCACCCACCGCCCACAGGAATAATCGAATGAAACTAGGACACCGCGTGATGCTGCAATTACCCCGCTCAAGTTGTCTCCCTGATAAAATGATGGTATTAGTTTTGCCATCGCTGCCAGGCCTCGGGAGAAGGGATGAGAAGGGACAGGGTACCTCCGGGCGAAAAGCTTTACAAACATGACTGCTCCGCGACGGGGGGGGGGGGGCGGCCCCAGACATCTCAGCCTCAGCTGGACCGGGGCTGGGGACCAGGCCACTTTCTGATCAGCTGTCATACGGAAGAGGGAGGAGGGAACATACCTGTTCACGGGTCTGCTGCACTCACAGACTCCAGGCTCCCTAAGAACAGGCCTGGATTTCTGGGCCTTCGTCCTCAGACTGCAGCTGACCTTCGCAGGGTCTCAGGGCTGCTTGTTGGGAAACTGGGGGGTGGGAAGCCCAGGCCCTGAGGCCAGGCCCCGCTGCTTACTCACAGGGCTTGGCATCACGCCTCTCCCACCACGGAGCCCCTCTTGGGCCCTCCGGCAAGAATGTGACGCTCTGGCCACCCACCTTTTGTTCCCTCAGCACCAAAGGGTGTGGCTGGAGGCCTCCCCCACCTCTGGCCAGCTTCCTAAGGTGATCGGAGTTGGGGGCAAATAACCAGGCCCCCTGCAGCCCTCATCTGCACCCAAGCCATGGCGCTGGGACAGTCACTATGCAGCAACCCCAGGAGGGGCAGGTATCTACCTGTAAGGCAGGTGCCCTGTGCTCACCGAGGGTAGGTACCCAATGGTTTGGACTCTGGCTCCCACTTCAGCTTCTAGGCAACTACGTTTCCTTTAGAGGTAGAACCCGCCTTCCTCCCCCGACCACTGTAGTCCAGAAAAGCTCACCAGGCCACATGTAAGGACAGATGTGGGGGGGTCCCATAATTAGGAAGTGCTGGGGCTGGGATCCGAACCCAGCCTCTTGGACTGCAAACCCCCTTATCATCCGTCTCGCCCTCCCTGCCTCCAGCATGTGTCATACCTGAACACACAAGTACACACACACACACGCATGTGCAAATATATGCATACATGTGCCCACGTGTGTACTCACACACAGATATGCACACACACATACATATGCACACGCGGTAATCCTGAGCGACCAGGCTCTTTGAGATTTACTCCTTAATCGACCACAGGATCTTAGGAGGGAAACCATGTGAATAGCCATATTTTCCATTTACACAGCACTTTACATTTTAAGAAATGATCTCACTCACATTAACTCCTTTAATGATCCCGGGACTGACGTAAAAGTATCAGCCCGTAACAGGTACCTAGCTTGAAACACATAGTCTGTTTACTCTTAGCTTTTGATCCCAACTTAACAAAAGGAGATAAGCCGGCTGGGCTCCAAGACTGGAGAATTCCAATCTGGATGGTCCTCCTCAAGCTTGGAGGCTGGGAACACAAGCCTTTTTACACCAAAGGCTCATAAAGAATTATCAAACACCCCCAAGGACCCAGGGAAGGAAGGGATACAGGCAGAGGCGCAAAAGAAATCAGAGTTACTCCAAAATTCATCTCCGGGAGGCATGGAACTCCACACGGTTCTTTCACGCGAGGTCTGACTTTAGGCATTGGTTTTGGGGGAGGTTCAAGCTAAACATCTCAGGTGTTAGGAGTGAATCTCCCATTACTTTTCAAGTTGTCAGCACCACCAGCTAGACACCCAGACACTCTCCTCAAATACAACTAGAATCTTCTGTGGCTCTTTTCGAGCCTATGTGACTCTTTCGGGTCCAGCCGCGGCAGATTATTTGCTGTAACATCATCTCCCAGGAATATCATTCTAGAAAGGCCTAAGGGTGGACATACAGAAACACTCATAGTAAGAAAGGCCAGACTGCCAAGCAAGGTGCCCTCCGGCCTTGACCCCAGGGGTCCTTGGTACAAAGCGGGGACTCTCCTCTTCCACCTGGGTGCATGTGCCCAGCATCTGAGCAAGGCCCAGGGTGGACAAGGGGTGACATCCAAGGAGGGGGAGGAAGGTCCCTGCCCCTGACGCTCATGCTCTGCACCCTTTCCACGTACCGGCGGACTGAGCCCAGGCAGACGTACACAGCGCAATCTGGGCTAAGCCACCAGCAGGAGGGTCCAGATGCCGCTCTGTGCCCTGCCGAGTGGTGGTCCTGCCTGTGGAGGACCCCGGCCTGGGGTCTGGAAGATGAGTTTCATCACATGGTTCACCCAGTGGTCCCTGAATAGCAAACCAACGCTTGTCATGAGGGCCTAACTGCAAAGACCACCTAGGGGAGGGCATGGAGGGCAGGAGGCCCTCTGGCAGGTGTTGGCGGTGGTCCCCAGGAAGAGAAAGCATCCCTGAGTCTTGGAAACCATCACATGGATGGTTTGGCTACTGTTACCACCGCCCACTGCCCCCACTCCCCAACAAAAGAAACAAACGGGCAGAAGGAAGAGAAACCATCATACATCTTAGCCCTGTGGTG